CCTTACAAAAGATGCTTAAGGGAATCCTACATACAGAAATAAAAGATAAGTACCCTCATGAAAACATGTCAAAGTATAAAACCAAGTACAGAAAAAAGCAAGAATATTCAAAATAAATAGAAGACAGTTTTTTTTTAAATGATAGGACTAGGTCATTACTTATCAGTAATAACCTTGAATATAAATACTAAATCCCCCAATGAAAAGATACAGACTGGCTGAATGGATAAACCAAAAACCAATGACTTGCTGCCTACAAGAAATTCATTTCACCAGTCAAAACACTCAAAGAGTGAAAGTGAAGGATGGGAAAATTGTTCTTTACAAAAGGAAACCAGAAGTGAGCAAGTGTAGCTATGCTTATAATGGACTAAATATGTCTTAAGACAATTACGAAAAGACAAATAAGTTCTCTATATCATGATCAATTGATGAATTCAACAAGGTGATATATTGATTATAAACATATTTGCACCTAATAATGGTGCATTCAATTTATAAAGCCAAAACTATTTGACCTGTTGAGAGAGATAAGATCAAATACAGTAATAGTGTGTGTGGGGGGGGGACTTTAGTACCCTACTTTCATCAATGGACAGATTATCCAGACAAAATCTCAACAAGGAAACATCAGAGTTAAACTAAACTATAGACCAAATGGACTCAACAGACATTTATATAACATTTCCTTTAAAAGCTGAAGAATAAGCTTACTTTTTCATCAGCATATGGAACATTCTTTAGGATAGACCATATATTAGACAAAAAAGCAAGTATGAACAAATCGAAAAAAATCAAAATTATATCATGTAGCTTTCTGACCACAATGAAATAGAACTAGAAGTCATCAACAAAAGAAAGTCTAGACTTTATATGTATATCTGGAGACTGAACTACATGCTTCCAAAGAAGAGTGTGTTATTGAAAAAGTCAAAAAGGAAATTTAAAAATTCCTTTAAATGAGTGAAAATGGAAATATATAAAAACTTATGAAATATAGAAAAATCTGTAGTAAGTTTATAGCAATAAATGCCTACATAAAAATAGGTATCAGATAAAGAAATAGTGCATCTCAAGAACCTAGAAAACCAAGGATATACCAAACCAAAAATTAATAGAAAGAAAAAATAGGTAAATGAAACTAGAAAAGTTCAAAAGACCAATAAAGAGTTGGTTTTTTTGGAAAGAGAAGAACAATCAACTTTCGATAAGAAGATAAAAGAGCATTCGTGTGAATAAAATCAGATAATGGAAATATTGCAACTGAAAACACAGAAATAAAATGATCATTAGGGACTATTATGAACAAGAATATGCCAACAAATAAGAAAACCTAGAAGAAATGGACAAATTTCTGGATACATATAACTTACAAATGTTAATCCATGAACACTCAACAGACCCATAACAAATTAAATCAATAATAGTGTTCCAGCAAAGGAAAGCCCAGGAGCAAATGGCTCTGCTGCTTAATTCTACCAAATATTGAGGTATAATTAACACCAATTCTGCTCAATCCAGTCCCAAAAATTTAAATAAAAAAATCCCTTCCAAATGAATTCTACAAGGCCATCATTATCTTGATACTAAGATCAGACAAGGACAGAACAACAGGAAGAAAGCTATTGGCGTGTTGCCCGGATGAAGAAATTAAAAAATTCTCAACAAATTACTTGCAAATTAACCCAACAATACATAAAAAAGATCATTCATCGTGGTTAAGTGAGGATTTATCCCAGGGATGCAGGGATGGTTTGGTAAGAACAAATCAGTGAATGTAATATCTTCATATGAACATCTCAACACAGGCAGAAAAAGCATTTAATAAAAGTAAACATATATTTATGATAAAAGTCTCAAGTGAGTTAAGTATCTCAACATAATTAAAGCTGTATATGAAAAATCCACAGTCAACATCATAATGAATGGCCAAACCCTGGAAGCCTGTCCTCTGAGATCTGGAACCAGACATGGCTGTTAATTCTGCTTTTATTCAATGTTTTACTGGAAATTTTAGCCAGAACTATTGTCTAGTGGAAAAAAAAGGCACACAAATTGAAAAGGAGGAAGTTGAATTATCCCAATTACAGATGACATGGTTCTGTATATAGAAAATCCTAAATATTCCAGCAAGAGAGCATTAGAAGTGATAATTTCAGTAAAGTTACAGGATACAAAATCAACACATAGAAATCAGCATTATTTTTTAGACATTATATAGACATTTTAAGGGTACTATCATTCCCAATAGCCACAAAAATAAAATACCTGGGAAGAAATTTAGCCATGGATGTGAAACAAATTTAAAGAAGAAATTGCATAACACTGAAATTGAAGAAGACATACACATACAATAGAGACACCTCTCATGTTCAATGATTGGTAGTAGGTATTATTAAAATGTACATACTACTCAAAGCAATTTACATATTCAACACAATCCCTATCAAAATACTGATGATATTCCACATAGAACTAGGAAAAAATCCTAATATTAATTTGGAAGCCAAAGACCGTGAATTTACAAAGCAATTTAAAACCAAAAGAATGAAACTGGGGGCATCACAACACGAGATCTCAACATATGCTGCGGAGCTATTGTAACTAAGCAGCATGATATTGGCATAAAAACAGACACATTGACTAATGGAACTGAACAGAGATTCCAAGAATTAGTCTATTCATCTGAAGTCTACTGATCTTCAAAAAAGCTGCCAGAAACTTACACTGGAGAAAGTACAATATGTTCAATAAATGGTTCTGGGAAAATCTATATTCTGAAAATTAAAGCTAGACCCCCTATGTCTCTCCCTATACAAAAATCAACTCAAAATTGATCCAAGACCTACAATGTAAGAACTGAAACTATGAAAATTCTATAAGAAAACATACGTTGAATGCTTCAAGACATCACTATAAGCGATGACTTTTGGATAAAACAAAAGCTTATAAAAAGCAAAACTAGACAAACGGGATATATAAAATTAGGAAACTTTTGCATAGTATAGGAAACAGTTAACAGAGCTTAGAGACAACCAACAGAATGGGAGAAAATATTCATAAGTCATGAATCTTATAAAGGATTAGCACCCAGAATATAAAAGGAACTAAAAAAACTTGGTAATAAAAGAAGACTAAACAATCCATTTAAGACATGAGGAAAGGGTCTGAATCTATCTATCTATCTATTTCTCATAAGAGGAGATAGAAATGGCAAAAAAATATGAAAAAAGTCTTAATACCAGTAGCCTTCAGGGAAATGCAAATTAAGTCACTCTAGATAAAATGGTTGTTATCAAAAAGGGAAAATAAGCAAATACTGGTGAGGATGTGGAGGAAAGAGAAGTTTCATACTCTGTTGGTGGGAATGCAGATTAGAATAGCCATTATGGAGAATGGTATGGAAATTCATCAACAGACTAAAAATAGATCTACCATAGGACCCAGCTTTTCTACTTCAGAATATAATTTGAAGGAAATAAAATCAGCATATGGGAGAGGTACTGTTACTCCCATGTTCATTGCAGTTACTGTCACAATAGCTATGAATGGCATTGATGAAGATGTTCATCACTGGATGACTGGCTAAAGAAAAGTGTGGCATATGTATGTACACTGGAATCTTATTCAGCCATAAGAAGGAATGAAATTCTGACATTCACAGCAAGATAGTTGAGACTGGAGAGTATCAGGCTATATGGAATAAGCCAGACATAGAAAGACAAATGACACATGTTCTCTCTTATTTGGAAGTTTAAAAAAATCGTCTTAAATAGTGATTACTAGAGGTTGAGAGGGGTAGCAGAACAGGAATAGAGGGAGATTGGGTACCACTTGCTAACCCATTTAGATACAAGTGACACATTCAATAGCACCATAGCACAGTGGAGGTGACTGTAGTTCACAATACCATGTTACATATGATAAAAGGATTGGAAAGGAAGAGCTGGTAGGTTCCAAATACAAATAAAAGTTTATAAATGGAAAGGCTAGTTGTCTGGTTTGATTGTTTTATGCTGTGTATATGTGTTGACATATTGCACAGTACTCCATAAAATGAAAAAGTATCTCATATTAATCACAAAATTGACAAAGTAGAATAATTGAAGGAAAAAAGAAAATAGGAGTTTTCCTTGAATAAAACTTCAGTATGATTTTTCCCTGATGTTCTATGATCGTGTTCCTTTATACTTTTTTTTTTTTTTTTGACAGGCAGAGTGGACAGTGAGAGAGAGACAGAGAGAAAGGTCTTCCTTTGCCGTTGGTTCACCCTCCAATGGCCGCCGCGACCTGTGCGCTGCGGCCGGCGCACCACGCTGATCCGACGATGGCAGGAGCCAGGTACTTATCCTGGTCTCCCATGCAGGTGCAGGGCCCAAGCACTTGGGCCATCCTCCACTGCACTCCCTGGCCACAGCAGAGAGCTGGCCTGGAAGAGGGGCAACCGGGACAGAATCCGGGCGCCCCGACTGGGACTAGAACCTGGTGTGCCAGCGCCGCAAGGCGGAGGATTAGCCTATTGAGCCACGGCACCGGCCCCTTTACACTTCTAATTAAGGTATCAGTGTTGGGAGATCAAGTCAGAACTGCTTCAAAGCTCTTCATTGGTGGGGGGTGGGATCATAGGTCTTGGTTATTAATTAACAGCACAGGAGTATGCTTGTCCTTAGGTCTGTAATGGGAATCTCAGCTTGAACCCTTAGCACCTTTACTATGGAAAGAATCCCTGAGATATCAGATGATGCTTTTTCAATTTTCAAAAGCATTTATGTGCACCAAGTAGACTGTTTTGTTTTTCTGGAAATGACTGTGAGTCACTGTTAGTAACCTTTATTTTGGAATCACTTAAAATTATTTTTAATACACATGAAGATTTCTAAACTCCCACCACACACAAATATTATTCAGTGAAACTCTGAGGGACTCAAGTGTCACCATTTTCTCCAAGGACTGTAGGTGGTCTGAATGACACACTTGACCCAGAATTTTTTTTCTTTCAGGAAAAGTCCATCGACATGAACAGACAAACCATCCTCACCCCTTGTTGCAGCCACATGAGATGGAATGAACGATATCTCCAGAATATTGATCCAGAGGGAGGTTGGCCACTGAAAATACCCTTGTTTTTTCAGCATCAGAGGTAAGAAGCAGAAGCCAACGTTTTGGTAGTAATTCTCAACAACCCCTACATAACTACTACTGTAAGTTATTCTCCCTGGGCAGTTGGAAAAGGAATATAACTTTTGGAAAACTATTTACTTCCTTTTGTAATTTTACTCCCAGATCTCATGGATGTTTCTCTCTCAGGTAATGTTAGGCATGACAGGTAAGGTTTACAGATGTAATTGCTCATAAGGACAGTGTTGATGCCCACAGCAGATTCAGCATCTAGGGAGAAAGGGGCTCTGGATACAGCAGCCATTACTGTCTGCCTTCAGTGTGTTGTGGAATCAGTTGCATGTGCATAATGTTACAATGTACATCAGTCTCCTATTTCCTAGGCATGTTCCCCTACTAAATCTTGAGCTGCTATTTACTTCAGTTACATGGCTACCTCATTGGACAAAAGTGAGGTCTGCTCAGTTCTGGCCTCTAGAACTGGTCTGGGCAGAGGCCATATCCTTAGACTTGACCTCACTCCACAGCCACGACATTGGGTCAAGCCAGCCAGACACATGCCCAGAGTTTGAAGCTCCTCTTAGCACATCAGGACCTGGTGAAAGACCAGGCTATAGGGATAAGATCTTGTAAGGTGAAGTTGCTTGGTGGGGCTGTCAGATGAGAGCTTCAGAGTGCGAGAGAGTTAACTACCCAACAGGCAATGATGGGAAAACAAGTCAGGAGGGAGCCAGGCAAATATACTCTCTTCTGCACTTTGTGTTGACTGTTTCAAGGCACACTTTCTTTTTTCTTTTTTTTTAAAAAAGATTTATATATATATATTTATTTATTTGAATGGCAGAGTTAAAGGTAGGCAGAGGCAGAGAGAAAGAGAGAGATCTTCCATAAAGTGGTTCACTCCACAGATGGCTCCAATGGCCAGAGCTGGGCCTATCCAAAGCCAGGAGCCAGGAGCCAGGAGCCAGGAGCCAGGAACTTCTCCTGGGTCTCCCACATGGGTGCAGGGGCCCAAGGACTTGGACCATCTTCAACTGCTTTCCCAGGCCACAGCAGAGAGCTGGATCGGAAGTAGAGCAGCCGGGTCTCGAACTGGTGCCTGTATGGCACCACTATGCCACAGCGCTGGCCTCCACAGTTTTTTTTAAATATGAAACTTTTATTTAATAAATATAAATTTTGAAAGTACAACTTTTGGATTATAGTGGTTCTTCCTACCATAACCACCCTCCCACCCACAAACCATCCTATCTCCTACTCCCTTTCCCATCCCATTCTTCATTAAGATTCATTTTTAATTATCTTTATATACAGAAGATCAACTCTATACTAAGTAAAGATTTCAACAGTTTGCATTCACATAGACACACAAAGAATAAAGTACTGTTTGAAGACAAAGGGATCACATAAATAAAACCAGTGCCTGCTAATAATAATAGATAGAATTAAAAAGGTGAGAACAATCCAACATGGGAAGCAGATACACAGCAGACTCATAGAATGGCAAATGCCCTAAACATCACTCTGGCCTCAGAATCAGCCCTTAAGGCATTTGGGTCTGTCTTTTAAAGCCAATGAGAGTTTCCCAGGCATGGAAAGCCAAGATACTGTGGCAAAAAATGACCTGAATGAAAGATCTCTGTGAGTAAGATCCCGGTAGAAAGAACGGGCCATCAAAGAAGGAGGTACCTTTCTCTGAAGGGAGGAGAGAACTTCCACTTTGACTATGGCCCTGTCTAAATAAGATCAGAGTTGGTGAACTCAAGAGGCTTCCATAGCCTTGGCAGCTCATGACGAGAGCGTCGGGTGATTACTGACGCCATAAACAAGAGTGTCAATTGTTAAATCAACAACAGGAGTCACTGTGCACTTACTCCCCAAGTAGGACCTCTGCCCTTAATGGTGAAACTAGTCCCCACAGTTTCTTTTTGTGTCTTGTCGAGAGAAGACCCATACCCAGGTCTGTTGGGTTTGCTGAACTGTCTTGCTTCACTGCTTGCGAAGAGTTGAGAGTCATCTACAGCATCACTTCACGGTGATTCGCACCTTTGCTTTCTTCACTTCCCTTTTCTTCATTCCTCATTCTCTTGTTGTGCACCTCTCCAGGGATGCATCCGCACTTCATTCCTTGCTGAAGGCTCCGTTTTCTAGAGAACGAGGCTAAGCTTTGTGGCAACTTTAACAGCTGAAGTCTTTGGAGTTGATTAAATGCATTTCACAGTATGGGGTGTGCTTCCTGATTTATAGCCTATATTAAGCCAAGGTAAAGCTTTTGAACGTCTGTGTTTGCTGTTGAATTGACCAAAAAGGGCTAAATGTAATATGCATATAAAAATAGAAGTACATAATTGTAAGATATGTAATTCACTTCCAATAGTGAAGTATATTTACTGAAATAGTTAATTTCTTGAGTTTGCTTAGTCGTAATGAAGGAGCAGTATTCTCTGATGGCAAGCATAATTTGGTGTTTTAAAACATTTTTGTCTTGATAATTATCCATTTTAATATAAACATTAGTTAACTGAAATAAACATTATCAAAACCACTTCATTTTAAATGATACACTGATATGCTTTAAAATAGGTTAATTATAGTGACCAGCCATGTATGGTAATCAACTTTTTATATTCTATTTTTATTTAGTTGAGTATAGCCTCTTGTTATTAAATGGCTCTATATCCTTCACCTTTGCCTAATAATTAAAAGCAAGTGAAATTAATCCTCAGTAGGAAAAAAAAGATTCTCCTTTTTGAATTATTTTTAAAGGTTTGTTTATTTGAAAGATGAAGTGACAGAGAGAGGAAGAAGGAGAGACAGAAGGACAGAGAGAGAGAGAGAGAGATCTTCCATCTGCTAGTTCACTGCACAGTAGCTGCAGCAGCTGGAGCTGGGCCAGGCTGAAGCCAGGACTTAGAACTTCATCTGGTCTTCTTCATGGGTGGCAGGGGCCCAAGTACTTTGGGCCATCTTCTGTTTCTTTCCCAGGCACATCAGCGGAAGTGGAGCAGCCTGCACCTTGACCTGGCACTTCGATGTGGGGTGCTGGCCTTGCAGGTGGCGGCTTACCCTGCTGTGTGACAATGCTGGCTCCCCTTGAACTATTTTTTATTAAGAAAAATTAACAGAGAAATAAAAATTGTGATTTTTATAGGGCATTATGTAATTTTTTTTACATGTGTAACTTCTGTAATATTCAATCAGGGTAAATATATTTATCCTTTCAAATATTTAACATTTCTTTATAGTGAAAGTATCCAAACTCCATTATTCTTGGTTTTTAAAAGAGAGAGGGGCCAGTGCAGTGGCATAGTGGGTAAGGCTGCTGTTTGCAATGCCAGCATCCCATATGGGCACCAGTTCTTTTCCTGGCTGCTCCATTTCTGATCCAGGTCTCTGCTATGCCCTGGTAAAGCAGTAGAAGATGGTCCAAGTTCCTTGGGCCTCTGCACCTGCATGGGAGACCTGGAGGAAGCTCCTGGCTCCTGGCTTCAGATCAGTCCAGCTCTGGCTGTTGCAAACATTTGGAGAGTGAATCAGTGAATGGAAGATTTTTCTGTCTCTATCTATGTCTCTGTCTCTTTTTCTTCCTCTCTCTCCTTCTCTCCCTTTCTCTCTACCTCTGTCTCTCTGTAACTCTGACTTTCAAATAAATAAATAAATCTTAATAAAATAAAATAAAATAGAAAAATATATGGTACACTATCTGTAGTCACCCTACTGTGTAATAGAAGTCCAGAACTTCTTCTACCTTTCTAATTACAACCTAGTACACCCATCAATCAACCTACACCCATCAGTCAACCTTTCCCCATTTCTTCTTCCATACTTCCCTCCCCAGCCTCTGGTAACCACCATTATATTTTGAACTTTAATGAGATCACCTATTTTTAGACTCCACATGTGAGTATGATCATGTGCTATTTATTCTGTGCTTGAATTTTTTAAAATTTTTCATGATAATCTCCACTTCCATTCATATTGTTGTCAATGGCACGATTCCATCTTTATATGTTTGAATAATATTCATACACACTCAGACACATACACACACATACAAAATACATTTTCTTTCCTCTCCTTGGTAGATGGCTTCTTAGATTGTTTCCTTTTCTTGGCTATTGTGAATAGTGTGGCAATAAATACATTAGTGCAGATGTTTCTTTGACAGTTGGATTTTATTTCCCTTGGATATATACCTAGAAGTGGGATTGTTGGATCATTTGGTAGTTACATTTTCATTTTTTGAGGACCCTCTATATTGTTGTATGGAGGAACCTCTATAGCTCTTGTGAAGCTGACTTTGTGTGTGTGTATGTGTGTGTACGGCTGTTCATGTTGTTGTCTCTGCAGTGAGGTGGTTGGTCACTGGAGCCTCTTACTCAGCTACCATTTTGGTTCCAGGCACGATACACTCAAGCCTTTTATTCCTTTTTTAAATTTTTATTTATTTTTTATTTTTTTAACAGGCAGAGCGGACAGTGAGAGAGAGAGACAGAGAGAAAGGTCTTCCTTTTGCCTTTGGTTCACCCTCCAATGGCCACCACAGCTGGCGCATCGCGCTGATCCGAAGCCAGGAGCCAGGTGCTTCTCCTGGTCTCCCATGCAGGGGCAGGGCCCAAGCACTTGGGCCATCCTCCACTGCACTCCCTGGCCACAGCAGAGAGCTGCACTGGAAGAGGGGCAACCGGGACAGAATCTGGTGCCCCGACCGGGACTAGAACCTGGTGTGCTGGTGCCGCAGCCTTTTATTTCTATGTCAAGGTTTCATTTCCTTTTTTTCTTTTTTTTAAGATTTTTTATTTATTTATTTGAGAGGTAGAGTTACAGAGCGTGAGAGGAAGAGACAGAGAGAAAGGTCTTCCCTCTGCTGGTTTACTCCTCAAATGGCTGCAACGGCTGCAGCTGTGCCGATCTGAAGCCAGTAGCCAGGAGCTTCTTCCCATTCTCCCACGTGGAAGCAGGGGTCCAAGCACTTGGGCTGTCTTCCACTGCTTTCCCAGGCCATAGCAGAGAGCTGGATTGGAAGAGAAGCAGCTGGGACTAGAACCAGTGCCCATATGGGATGCTGGTGCTGCAGGTGGAGGATTAACCCACTGTGCCATGGTGCCGGCCCCAAAGTTTCATTTTTTTTTTTTTTGACAGATAGAGTTAGATAGTGAGAGAGAGAGAGGGAAAGGTCTTCCTTCCATTGGTTCACCTCCCAAATGGCTGTTACAGCCAGCGCTGCGCCAATCAGAAACCAGGAGCCAGGTGCTTCCTCCTGGTCTCCCATGCAGGTGCAGGGCCCAAGCACTTGGGCCATCCTCCACTGCCCTCCCGGGCCACAGCAGAGAGCTGGACTGGAAGAGGAGCAACCAGGACTAGAACCCGGTGCCCATATGGGATGCTGGCGCCGCAAGGCGGAGGATTAACCAAGTGAGCCATGGCGCCGGCTCCCCAAGGTTTCATTTCTAAGAAATGATTTTTTTAAAATTTATTTTTTTATTTTTAGTTTTTTGACAGGCAGAGTGGACAGTGAGAGAGACAGAGACAGAGACAGAGAGAAAGGTCTTCCTTTTCCTTTGGTTCACCCCACAATGGCCACTGCAGCTGGCGTGCTGTGGCCGGCGCACCACGCTGATCCGAGGCCAGGAGCCAGGTTCTTCTCCTGGTCTCCCATGGGGTGCAGGGCCCAAGCACTTTGGCCATCCTCCTCTGCACTCCCTGGCCATAGCAGAGAGCTGGCCTGGAAGAGGAGCAACCGGGACAGAATCCAGCGCCCCGACTGGGACTAGAACCCGGTGTGCCGGCGCCGCAGGCAGAGGATTAGCCTATTGAGCCGCGGTGCAGGCCCTAAGAAATGATTCTTGTAATTCTTGTGCTGTCCATTTTGCAGCTCCTAGCACTGTAGAAAGTTACAGACATTGAGTGTAGTGCTTTCTTCTGATTGAAATCTCACACTGTCTTCTCCTTTTGTACCAGAAATAAGGGCCATTGAGCAAAGAAGTTATAAACCTAATTTTCTCCTTAAGTAAAACTTTGAATGTTTTAGAGTTGCAACTGATGGACCTAACAAAATGCAGTGCTGGATTTTACAATAACTTTCTCTGTGGGAACTCCGGAACCTAAGAAATTGAATGATCTTTCACCTCAAAGAAAGTAATTCTGCATACGGTCGATGGCTGGGGAAAGAAGTAATTCTGTGTTATAACATTCACACTGAACCTGATACTTACAAACTACTACTTCCTTTCTCTTTCTCTTTAACTGGTACAAGTATTCACCATTTTTATGTGAATTATATTTCCATCTCCACTGAAAATCAATGAAGATGTGTATTGATCAATTATATAGGTTCAGCTTGATTGCTCTATTTATTAATCACTCTAATAATAGTGTTCCTAGAGAAAGCAGTAAATTCATTTTCATTATTTTTCAGTCTTGAAACTGAAAAGAGCCAACATAAATATTAGTGACATAATTTGACAGTCAGGGTTCCCACATTTCAACTTTCAAAGTATCATAGACAACAAGAGCAGAGCTTGTCTGGCCTTCCATGCACTGAATACAGACGCACACATCCTCACACATAATGCGTCTGTAAGGAAACATGTCACCTGTTGTTTGTAGAGATGTTCTCATAGGGGAAGTCTAGTTGCAGGTGCTAAACTAATTGGATCCCCAGGGCTTCCCTAAATCCCCATTCTGTGTACTGATAGCTACATTCTCACCCACTTCCTGAAAGTTGAAAACTTGGGCTAGGTTTTCGCTTGCTTTGGTTTTAAATCTTATTATGCAGAATAATGAAGTTGGTTTTTATCTGTCAATAAATAAGTCTTTTTTATGTGATTACTTTTCCCTTAAAAAGTTCATTTTGTTATTTCACTAGATTGATATATCTTGTGTGACTTTAACTTTTCCCATTAAATATTTGTCAACAGTTTACCCGTTTTCCCATTTATAAGTGGTCATTCACCTCATAGGTAGCTGTTTCTATTTAAAAACACAGTTCATGTAATTGGAACACACAGAATTGAAATGGAAACTATTGCATCTTTTTAAATTTTCATGTTTTATATTTCATAAAATTAACTCATTTCTGAAGTATAGTTGGAGAAAATATTATATAAAAATTGGACTTCTATGCTTTTAGGATAGTTTTCTTAAATACAAACAGAAGAATGATGTGAAATATATACTATCCAAAGAAAGACACAGTATATGAGAAAAAGATTATTCCTGTTATTATGGTTAATGCTAAAGAAAACTTTAATAAAGAATATGTTTACCTTCTTTAAAATAGAATGAACCCCTGGCACTACCTCTATTGCAAGAGAAGAGGAAAAGAAATTGCATTATTATAGTTCCTTCCAGGGCAGAGCAGATTATTCTCTGTTGTATTTAAGCAAGTATCTTTGGAATCCTGGGTGGTGGTGCATTCTTTGCTTAGATGATCCCCCAAGCTGCCATACTCTAGTATAAACTCTTTGGAAAATACTTGTACAAACCATCCTGGGGCTGACTACACCTGAAGTCACCAAGAGAAAAATGGAACCAACTATATATATATTTTTTTCTTTAACTTTTATTTAATGAATATAAATTTCCAAAGTACGGCTTATGGATTACAATGGCTTCCCCCCCCATAACGTCCCTCCCACCCGCAACCCTCCCCTTTCCCACTCCCTCTCCCCTTCCATTCACATGAGGATTCATTTTCAATTCTCTTTATGTACAGAAGATCAGTTTAGCATACATTAAGTAAAGATTTCAACAGTTTGCTAACTATATTTTGATATACAAATGTATATCTTAATTCACAGGATATGAGTCATTTAGAAAAACCTAAAAAATATGAAAAGTAGGTTATTTACTTAGCAACTATAATTGAAATGTCCTAAAGTGGCATTAGAGTTGCACCATTAGTTCATTTGTTTGTTCTAATATTTGTGTGGTTTTATAAAAGTGCAAGACTAGCAAATTTGGTGAAACATAACATGTTATCAGTAGAGTGTCCAATATGTGACATTTATTAATTGCCTACAATTACTGAAATTATATTTGAATTTGAGTAATTCGATGTGCTTAATTGAAATACTTCTTGGCAAAAATACCTGTCATGTGTGGTATCATTTTTGCCAGTTAAATGGAATCTTCCATGACTGCTTTGCAAATCAATTTTATAATAAATAATTAAGTAGCTCTAATTGTTTTGGTTTCCTGCTAATGTATTAATAGACTTTAAATCAAGATATCTACTGAAATAGACTTACTGTGCCTGACTTAAAAAAAAAAAAGGTTCTGATGGCAAATACTTAGTGGTTGAACATTTTGCTTAAATTCTGGTAACAGAATTCTCTTTTCATTCCTTTTTATACATTTTCAGCTATTTAATAATGGGAATAATATTGAGTAGAATGATCCAAATTTAATTAGAAATTCACATTCTGATATTTTATTTTTGTTTTTTAAAGATTTATTTATTTGGAAGACAGAGTTACAGGGGCGGGGTGGGGGGTGTCTTCCATTTGCTGTTTCACTCCCCAAATGGCCACAATGGCCGGAGTTGAGCTGAGCTTAAGCCAGGAGCCAGGAGCTTCTTTGGGGTCTCCCACATGGGTGCAGGGGCCCAAGTGCTTGGGCCATCTTCCACTCTTTCCCAGGGACATTGGCAGGGAGCTGTATTGGAAGTGGGGCAGCTGGGACTTGAACCGGTGCTCATATTTGATGCTGGAACTATAGGCCGGGGCTTTAACCTGCTGTGCCACGGTGCTGGCCCCACATTCTGATATTTTCAAAACATCTTCCCCTCTAGTTATCATTTCCATTATTTTAAATATGTATATAAGGCATAGTAGCCAGAAAAGAATATGTGGACCCAATGTAAGTGATATGGTTCCATCTTCCTATGCAACTTGACCTTCAACCATCCAGGTAGCTGAAATAACTTTATTTTGGGGGGAAAAGTCAGGCTTCCATAATAAAAATTTATTCTTATATAAATTTATAGCATTTGAGTAGTTAAAGAGACTCATCTGTCGCCTAGGAAGAGGCCATGAGCAGTGACCTGTTAAGCAGGGTGACTAGACCGCCGAGATGAGTGGTTACTGACTTTACTCAATGTGTGCAGAGATGTCGATTTCTTCCAGATGCTCTGCCACATTCACTTCAAACTGGACCTGAACATCATTGTGGATTTTGATATCCTTGTCAGACACAAAAGTGATGGCCCACCTTTGGTGCCACTGAGGTACTCATGGGCCACCTGGTGAAGATAGGTGTCCAGGTCCTGGAGCATGTTGTGGTTGAAGACAATGTTGATTCACTCAGTGTCTGTCCCATGGTTAGACAGATTGGTGGCCACGAAGATCCACTGCTAGTAGTCCTTGAACTGCTAGTAGCGAGATTGGGGCTGTTTCTGGCCCATGTGCTGGTGGATGGCAATGGCCCAGAAGTTTTTTTGGGGCCAGGGTCATAGGCATGGCTGTACCAATTTGATGGAGATACCATCTGGCTAAACTCTAACATGCCCAGTGGATCAAAGAGCTATGATTCTTCTCACTGTCCTTGAGCTTGACTTAGTACTGCTGCAGTCCATGCCACATGAGCTTGGTCTTATCCTCCAGAAACAACTCCATTGGGTCCTGACTAAACTTCCTGTGGACAGGCTAGATCTCCTTGCTCAGGCTAGCACTGAACATCATGCATGGCTGTTTCTGGGACATCAGATGGAAGATCTGCTGCTTGTACCCTCACATGTCCAGTCGCTCCTCACTTGTTATACTCATCAGTGCAAACTGCTTCACACTCTTTAGGCTGAGGCTCCTGTTCTGCACAGGGCCAGGTTGCAACCTGGCATCCCCACCACATTACGGTGTTAGACCCCAGAGTGAGGATGCCAACACGTCGAGAGGCACACCCCAAAGACTCAGACTCCAGACCAGCTGATGCAAAAGCAAGAGGATTTATTCAGCGTCTGCGCAGACGGGCCTCCTGAACTCAGGAGTCCAGAGAGCGCCCCCAGTACAAAGCCACACGGTTTATATACCCGCAGCGACCAATCAAAAGCACTATAGAGTCCATGCACACAGCAGTGCAATCCGCGAGCTGATCATGTGAAGGGCATGTGTCTTCTATCCAATCAGCTACGGGATCACATGGGAGGCATGTACCTCGTCGCCATTTTGTTGTTTACTTCTTTAGTAGTTCCTTTCCCTGCCAGTGCCATCTTGTTCACCCTGGCGGGGTGGGAGGTGGGTGACGTCTCGCTCCCTTTGTTCCCCTTGTGGGAGAGCGGCGTCCCGCATTCCACACCGTTATTTGAGTATTAGGAGGCATACAAACTGGGTTAGGTCTTAGCACAGCCAGGCACAAGTGTCACAGCTAGCTAAGCATAGGGTCCCTTATTTTTATAGCTATACCTAATTTTAGCTTTGGGGGAAGAAGTTTAGGGCTGTAATTTTAAACTTTAATTTTTTATTTGGGGCAAAGGTAACTTCTTGTTTTAATAGTGTTAGCTTAAGTCACTCCATCTTGGTTTGATTTTTAAGGTTCTTCAACGGGGACAGTCCTATTCAATGCTTCCTCATCATTCTTGATGAGAAGCCATAGAAGAACCCGGGCACCATGACACAGGGCATGTACTTGAAGTGCTTGTGTTCCTTGTCGATGTGGAAGGCCAGTTTCCTGGTGTGGCATATGGCCAAACCATCTCCTCTCTGTTGATGGGCTTGATCTACTATAGGGCCACTGGCATGAAGACTGCCATTTTGCCCATCCCAGGCTTGGTCTGGCACAGGACATCCATGCCCAGGATGGCTTGGGGAATGCACTGTGCAGAGGTGGCACCAAGCTACAGTCCTCTATGGCCCTCAAGGGCTCTGGCTTCAGCAGAATGTCTAGGAGACCTGGGATCCCTTGATGTCCTTTCAGCAGGAAGCTGCAGTGCTCTTTGGGGGATCCTGTGGCTTGTCATCTTCCTTGTAATCCAAAGACTCGTTTTCCACATCCTGCTTTGCCACTGTGCTGCTTCCTCATTTGCCTCCCTGTGCTCTGAAGAGACCCACCCGGGGGAAGAAGTATTGATATTTGCTTTTTCGGTCCTATGCCTTGTTTGTTGATTCTGCAGGACACTCTTCCAAACATTCGGATAGTAATGGTCTAATACAAATATACAGTGAGTATTACGATTGTCCAAGACATTTAATTAAAAATCTAACAGCAGAATACGTGCCATCCTTTGAGCCACAAGATGTAAATATATGTTATCAAACTTTAATGACATAATACAGTATAAGAATGAATATATAAATCAGGAAAAATGAAAAGAAATTTCTGGGGAAAAAGCTTAAAGTGTGTCCAATATCAATATGGTAAAAGTGACATTTCCAATTATTTGGCAAGACAAATACTATTTAATAATAATATCTATCAGTTGATTAATAATTTGGTGGGACAAAAGATGGATAAATGTATTCACCTTACACTATATGCCAAAATAAATTAGTTAAATGCAAAAGTGGAAGCAAAAACTAGGAGAAAATATAGCTGATTATGTTATTTGAACTTGTATTTGAGAAGTGTAGCGCTCCAGGAAAACATTATAAAAGTGGATTGGTGTATTTGTATTTGAAATTAAAACTGTAAAGCAAATGAAAGGAAAATTAGCAAAGTAGGTGAAATGTTAAGACAGTTTCCTGGGGCTGGCATTGTGGCGTAGTGGTTAAGCTGTGCCTGTGATGCTGGCATCCCATGTGGGTGCCAGTTGGAGTCTGGGATGCTCCACTTGCAATCCTGCTCCCAGGCTAATATGCCTGGGAAAAGCAGCAATACCTGGCCCAAGTATTTGAGTCCCTGCACCTAAGTGGGAGACTTGGCTGAAGCTCTTGGCTCCTGGCTTCAGCCTGGCCCAGCTCTGGCTGTTGCATCCATTTGGGGAGTGAACCAACAGATGAAAGATCCCTCTTTAGGAGCAATAAGAAAATCATACCTGGAAGAAGGGCAGAGGGTATAAATAATTAGTTGTAAAAAAGGAAAAATATAAATGGTAATAACTTTAGATAAACAAGTATAATTTTAAGGTCAGTCCTGTGGCACAGCAGGTTAAGCTACCACTTACATTGCCTCCATCCCATACTGGAGTGCTGGTTCTAGTTATGCCTGCTATGCTTTCCATTCAGTTCCCTGCTAGTGTGCCTGGGAAGGCAACACATGCTGGCCAAAGTACTTGGCCCCTACCATGCATGTGGGAAACTTGAATGGAGTGTTGGGCTCCTGGATTTGGCTTGGACCAGACCCAGGCATTGTGGCTATTTGGGGAGTAAACCAGTAACTGGAAGATCTCTCTCTCTGTCTTTCCTTCTCTCTCTTTCCCTCTAAATTTCAAAATAAATAAATATATCTTTACAAAAAACGTCTGATTTTACTAATGGTCAAAGGAATTCAAGTAAATGATAATCAATGTACATATTTCCTCTCTTCCTCCTCCTTTTTTTTTTTTTTTGGAAATACACAAGTATAGGTTGGTGTTGGTAATTGAAATAGGCATAGCTTTCCTGGTGGACAATTTGACCTTTTTTTTTTTATTTGAGAGGTAGAGTTATAGACAGTGAGAGAGAGAGACAGACAGACAGACAGACAGAAAGGTCTT